GTACCTCTTCCCTGTGTCCTTCCCTCCATGCATTCCTGCCCCCTGAGCTGTCTCCCTGTGCATACACAGCCCTTCTATTCTCCCATGATTGTTCTCTCCAAGGAGTGTATCTACTAATGCAAACGTTCAGCTCATATGCCTGTCAGGAGTGGGTTCAATTCCAGACCTGAAGGGCAGGTAGGTAGGGGTGGTTCCAGATAGTCTCAGTGGTTCCATCCAGCTCTATCAGACAAGTAAACCTGATCCCTTTTTTTCTTCCTTTTTTTTTTAATGATTGCGAGTTTTGTTCCACATTGTTCTCCCACTCTATCCAGGATCTCCTCCATAGATCCCCCTCTGAGTGGTTGACAGTGGTAGCTGGGCACCATCTAGTTCTTCTGGTCTCAGGGTCCTATAGGCTAAGGATTGCATGGTGTACCAGTCCCTTGGACTAATTATTTCCATGTGACTTTGGTTTTCTTCATTCTTCTTTGCTTTGGATGAGGAGAGAGCCATTGTTACATCTAGATGGCCACTTGCAAGCTTTTAAGACCTCAGTTGCTACTTGAAAAGTAGGATATGGAACAATGTTTTTGTGTAGTATGTTATGCCAATTGAGCTTGATGGCCCCTGGGACTATGGTCCTGAGTCCAACTACTTGCTACCTCTGGGTAGCTGGCTGTGGCCAAGAAGTGACTACAATCTTGTCCCTTGTCAGCTAGCATATGTTCTTAATAGTGTACCATACCAAGCTCCTGATTTAGGTCAAGTTAAAGAAAATGTGCTAAATATTTAGTTCACTTTTATGTACGTTTATGTTGTCAATAGAACAAGCTTTCTTTTTTTATGTGATAAGTTTGGAGAAATAGCAACAAAAGTCCTGGCAACCATTTGAAAGTAAAACAGCTACTTCAATTTCCAACAAGGTGCTATACAAAAGGGTGTTGTACAAAGAAACACGCACCAGAAAGTCTTGCAAAGAAGGCTCAAAAAGCAGTGACTGGACTGTCAAAATCAGTTCTGTGAGGAACATGGGAATGAGAGATTCATCTTCTTCTTGCTTCTCCAACAAAGGGGGTGCCTGAAACAAGCACATTAGAAGTGTTATAAAGATCCAAGTACCAAGATGTAAAATAAAAAATATAAAAACCTATATTATAAGAGGCACATAATCTTAAGTTTATAAAGTTAGTTGATTTTATAATTTTGATACATGGAAAGTCTTTCAAAGCCTATGACCATAGGCAGAGAAAAATAAAGGCAAATACTGAAAGACTACTTAACTATGTAAAATGTGCCTCCTTATAGAAACGCCATGAAAAAAAAAATGGAAGAAGCAACATCCTGGGAAAACGTATCTGTCGGTAATGTATAAAGCAGATAAAAGCTGTAATTAACTCATGGTAATCCCATGTGTGTCAGAATAGAACTGTGCTCCACAAGATTTTCAATGGATGATTTTCCAGACATAGATCACCAGGCCTTTCTTCCAACCTTTTGCCTAGCAGTCTAATACATTAACTATTTGCACTACCCAGGGGATGCTGCAAATATTTAAATAAAAATATACTGAATACACTTAATTAAAAATATGCTAATAATATAATAAATAATATTTAAATATATACATGCTTAAATAGAAATGTACTTAAATATAAAATGGGCAAAGGACATTATCTAATTATTCTCAAAAGAAAAATCAACAAAATCAGCAAAGCACTTCCTTCTCTTCCTCAAAATAGTTTACTGAATAACAATGTTTATCAAGTGTTTATTGTATGCCAGACACAGTATTAAGTGTTTATGTAATTCCTACACCAAACATATGAAGCAGGTGTTATTATTCTATCATGGGAAAGTTGAGGTCTAGAGAACAGAAGACATTTCATCCAGGACACACTAGCTAGTAAGTGGCAGACCAGAATTCAAACCCAGGTCTTTCTAATCTCCAGACCTATCTCTTATTCCTGCATCAAGATAGCAATTAAAGGAATAAAATGAACAGAATTTCACCAAAGAAGACATATAGGCAGCCAACAAATACATGAAGAAAGGCTCATAATCATTAGCCATTAGGAAGATGCAAATCAAAACAACAATGAGGTATCATCTCACACCAGCAATAACAGCCAAGGTCAAAAAAACAGAAAACAACAAATGCTGATGAGCATGTGGAGAGATTGGAACTCTCTTTATCCTGCTGGTGGGACTGTAAAATTGTATGATCAATGTAAAAATGGTACAGTTCTTCCTTAAAAAGTTGGAAATAGAAATACCATATGATCCAGCAATCCCATTGCTAGATATATACCCTAGGAAAATTAGCCTTAACATGAATAGATACAGGCACACACAGCATTATTCACAATAGCAAAAAGATAGAAACAACTAAGTGCCCATCAGTGGATAAAAGGATAAACAAACTATATCACACACTCACAATGGAATACTACACAACAGTAAAGAATAGTGAAGAATCCTCAAAACACTTCGTAACATGGATGAACCTGGAGGGCATTATGCTGAGTGAAGTAAGTGAATAACGGACAAATATTGACCACTACTATAAAAAGTCAAGAAAAAGTTTATACATAGGAAGAAACATTCTTTGATGGTTACCAGGGATGGAAGGGGAAGAGAGTTGACTAGAGAGTAGACACATACTAACTTGGGTGAAGGGAAAGGCAATATACCAAAAGGGGAGGGCAGCACAACATGAGCAAGGCAAAGGAAGACACTGGGAGGTGCAAAATAGCAAAAGACAACAAAGGTAAGTACTATTACATACATAATCCTGTAATAATAATAATAACAAAAAACACCCACAAGTAGATACACAGGTAGACATGTAAGCTGAACAGATGTGGGATGGCAAATGGGAGTATACAAATGAGTATATATAAGTTTGGTAGAGGATATTTCTACATAGCATGTGCTGCAAATATATCCAAGGATATTATAAAGCATACAGGAAGCAAAGTTCTGACTTCTTCCCCCCCCCAAAAAAAAAGAAGCCCACTGCCATCGAGTTGATTCTGATTCACAGTGACCCCCACTGGGTTTTGACTTCTTAGCCATATCCAAACAACTTGAAGGAATGAGTCACTAGGCTTAGGGATTTAGGACCACAATCTGGGGAGACATCTAGGTTAATTGCCATAACATACTCCACAAAGACAATGTTCTACATGGCACTTTGGTGACTAGTAACTGGGATTTTAAAAGTTTGTGAGCAGCCATCTATTGAACTCTTCTTGTCTGTAGCAAAGAAGAATGATGAAAAAGGCTCAAGAAAAAAATTAATCCAAAGGACTAATGGATCACGAGAACTACAGCTTCTACTCCCCAGTGACCAGAAGAACTAGATGGTGCCCAACTATCACTACAGACTGCTCTGATTGGGGTCACAATAGAAGGTCCTGGACAGAGAAGAAGAAAAAAATATAGAGCAAAATTCAAAACTACTAAAAAAAAAGACCAGTTATTCTTCTGATAGAAACTGGTAGAATACACAAGACTGTGGTCTTTAGACACCCTTCAAACCTGGAACTGAACCCAACCCTGGGAATCAACTATTAAGTGAATAATAACACCATGAAGAAATGTACTCCTTGTACAATCACCCATATGAGGGGAAAAGGGCAGGATTTGCTCAAAAACAAAGCTCAGAAGGCAAGAAGGGACAAGAAGAAAGGAGAAATGGAAATAGGGAACCCAGGGAGGAAGTGGGAAGAGTGTTGTTACATTAAGGGGACTGCAACCAATGTTAAGAAACAAGATAAATCATTAAATGGAAAACTAATTTACTCTGTAAAATTTGACCCAAACTACAAACTGGGGGAAAAAAAAAGAAAGCAGTGATACAGCACTTTACACGCAACAGATAGACAATGATTGAAATGAAAGATAATATCTAATGTTAATGTGGGTAAATGCTCATTCTCAAACACTGCTAAAAATGTGGTAAGTTGATAGAAAATTTCTACAAAGTCATGCATCAGTATGTATCCAAAGCTTTAAAAATAGTGCATATTTCTGACCCAATAATTCCACACCTAGGAATTTCTTCTATGGAAAAAAATCAGAGATGTGTAAGAAATGTGTATGCAAAGATGTTATTTGCAGTGAGGAAGTGATTAAAAATAGGAAACTGTTCACAAGATGTAGAGTATATAATGTGAGAATTTTATATAAAAACCAAACTCACTGCTGTCAAGTTGGATCCGACTTACAGCGACCCTTCCTTGGGTTTCGGAGGCGGTATCTCTGTGGAAGTAGATTGCCAAACCTTCCTTCCAAGGAGCAGCTGGTGGGTTTGAACTGCCAGCCCTCTGGTTAGCAGACAAATGACTTAGGCATTATACCACCAGAGCTCCTATGTTGTTGTTGTTGTTATGTGCCGTCGAGTCAAACCCGACTCATAGCGACCCCTCCTTGGGTTGCTGAGGCAGTATCACTACGGAAGTAGGATTGCCCAACCTTCCTTCCGAGGAGTGGCTGGTGGGTTTGAACCGCCAGCCTTCTGGTTAGCAGGCAAGTATCTTAGCCAGTATGCTACCAGAGCTCCCAGACATTGGAAAAATACATACTGACCTGAGAGATTTTCAGTAATATATCATTAAGCAGAAAAATAGGTAATCAAACAGTAAATAAAGAATGATGCATCCCCACCCATGCCTTGGAAGGAGCTCTCTTTGTGGAGAACTTTTTTTACATTTCTGCACTTTTCCCCAAAAAAATTTTCTGTATTTAGCATATATTACTTTTTAAATTAAGAAATGTTACTTTAAAAATGTGATAGTATTTAGCAAAAGGAAGAATTGATAATGAGGGAGAAATAAAGCAATGAAAAGAGGTATGTGATTAAAACTAAACTTTTGGAGAAAAGGGAAACTAAGCCAAAGTACATTAGGTCTTCAAACTGCATAGCTGGGTTTCCTGGGGGAAGAAGTTGAGATACGGAAGAAGGAAGCTTGATGAAATCAGCTAAGAATATTTTGTTATATTCTTAGGTATTCTGGCATGAAGCTATTATCAAGGATGAACTAGGTAAAAGCTTATTGGCAAACATGGATACAAGATAATATGAATTATCTCTTATCTATGCTGAACTGAAAAGGTCAAATTCCTATTACTTCATTTCAGACATTTCAAATTAGTCTGTGTCTCAAAGATCAATATCCTTCCAAGAGGTCAGCCACTCCAACATTTACTTTTGTGATTTGCTTCTTCTCACCTCTAAATCATTGTTCATTTCTTTTATTTATATCATCTTCCCTGCTTCCCCCTACCAGTCCATGCCCATGATAACCCCCAAACTATAAGCTTCTTTGGGGCAAGGTTCCTGTCTATGCATATCATAGCTACATACTCAACTCCCAGCATAGGAATTGACACATAGTAGGTAGGTAAGGAATATTTGTCAAGTACAATACATGAATAACCTTTAAAAAATATCTATGAGAGTGACAGCAACACACTGTCAGCACAGTGCATTCTTAGTCTATTATTAGATACTTGTCGATACGCTGATTTTCATTGTGTCATTTCATGTGTGTATGGCAGGTCCTGATTATTTAAAATCCTTCAAGAATTTCTTCTATTTTTCCAGTACACAGAAGAAAGCATAATTCATAGTACGTAGTAAGCACTCAATAAAGTTGACCAATGAACATTCTTAACTGCATCTTGAATATACCTTTTTGTCAGTGACTTCAGGCTTCTCTTCAGTAACCCATTGCTGAATGACATCTACTGATGGTGTTCGTTTTAATTTGTCAGTGAGATAATTCAAAAGAGAGTTAACAGAATTTACCGTTAGGACATGCATTGTGTTCTCAATTAGATAGTCATTTAGACGAATAAAGCTTGAAAAGAAAAAAAAAATCAGTTTCAATTTTCAATATTCATTATATATTTTTGAAAGTGATTATACAGGAAGTATTTAGATTAAAATTTTTTCTCCTTCAATTTCAGTTTAATCATATTCCAGTATCAGGGATTTATTGTTTTAAATAGTTTCTAGTTTAAAACACAAATATTCAAATATATAGCATCAATTCTAACTTTGCTAAGTGTTACAATGCTTCATAGGCTATTTAATAAACAATATAGTTGTTACAGAAAATGTACCTAGTGTATCTAGCTAAAAGAGCTATATAGGTTTGTTTTAAGTTGCTTTAAATTTGAAATCAACAAATATATCTATAACTTGTATTCTAATTGTAAAGATGTGAAATCTTTGCTACTGCATAAATGTCCGGTAATAGCAGTTGCTAGCCTAAAGGTACAAATCTAATGTTTCTTCATTTAAGTACTTAGAATGCAGATTGAATCAGCAAGACACTTGGAAGAACTTTTGATTCTGCTTAAGTAGAGCCACAGGTGCCTCTAGAACCAGTAGGCTAATCATGGTGGCCTGAGGGACTGCTTTACTGACATCTGCTGTGACACAGATATTTTCATAACTGAAAATGAAATTGGTACACAGTCAAGATTTATGAAGTAGGCAGTTGCAAAAGTTGAGCTAAATTATTGCACACGGAATAACAATGACCAGTGCTGCACAGTACTGCAACTTTTCAGATACTGTTTGGTGATTTTGTTTTTCAGAGTTATTTGTGATCAGTCAACTTTAATCATCCTGACTTATTTAAGTCATCAGGTTTTAGAATGGTGGGCAGTCCAAACTCTGGAACAGTCTCCATCAAGATCCAGTTGGGTAGAAGGTGACAAGAGTTAATCCCAGTAAAGGAGAGACATTTGGCAAAGCATTAGGAGGAAGACTTTCTTCCCTGGCTCCTGCCTACAAAACCTAGGTTAGGGATTTGTTGTTGTTGTTGTTATTTGCTGTTGAGTCAGACCCCTCCTTGGGTTTCCGAGGCAGTATCACTATGCAAGTAAATTACCCAACCTTCCTTCCGAGGAGTGGCTGGCTGGTGGGTCTGAACCGCCAGCCTTCTGATTAGTAGTCAAGTGCCTTAGGCACTATGCTACCAGAGCAGACCTTTGTGGGGCTGTGCAGCTGCCTGCAGTTCTTCAGTGGCCGGAAGGATGGAGCTGGCCCTTCAGGGCCAGTTGAGGAGGCCCACAAATCTCTGCATGTATGACTTCTCCTTCCCAAAGCCAGCTCCCCTGCTGATCTCCAGGATCCAGGGTCTTGGGCACTCTCTCCAGTTTCTACTAGAGACTTTTCTTGAAAGAAAGAATAATCATTTACCATGTTAGCCTCATGCAATGATGCCTTTTGCTGGCCTGTTCTGTATATGTCATTTTCTCAGAGTCTCCATAAGTGGGGAAGTCAAATGGCGTATCAATGAAAACCGAACTTCTTGTTAGTCTAAAATAATCTAAGAACAATAGAAGACACAAAAATAAGAATTCTTGTGTAAAAATTCCATGTTTTTCCAATATGGATTAAAAGAAAAGGCAAATAAAATTAGAAAAAAAATCCTTTAGTTCATGAAGCATTTTGAACCCCAGAAGATGGTGCAGTTACCCAAAAGAATTCACATCTAAAGATTACAACTCAACAAAAGGCTGTACAGCATTTATTAACATTATCTTAACAGGGTATGACCTGTAGACACACCACCTCTTTCCCAGGATCACTTCTAGCATCCTTTCCCACCTGCATTTTAGTCATCTTTTAGAATTCATGTTCAACTAGGACCAATCCTGTGATCCATTGAGTCCTTTCATTTTAATTAACTGACTGTCTATACTAATAGGTTGGACGTACCTTCAAACAAAGAGGCCACAAATCTACTGTAAAATGTTTATGAAATACAGGTACTTAGTTTAGAACCAGTTTAGAAATACTATACACAAACATGAGTAATGCAAGGAAAATGAAGTACATCTCTCTACAATATACATTACATTTACAACATTATCAAGCAAAATTATGGAAGAACTGAAGTAGCATCAATATTTAAACTTTAGAACAGTGGAACTGAAAACAATCATATTTTAGAAAACCACCACTTCTGATATACTAAGATTCTTTCCCCTTCATACCTGTATTAGGTTCATATGAACAGTCATCAGGAATAAATCCTACAGCACGCAGAGCAATTCGACAAGCCTTCCTGACCACATCTTTTGCCTCACTTCGAAATTCATCTAGGTGGTCTGTTACCTAGACATTCATGAATATGTATAATTAATTGTACTGAAGTAGCAATAATAAGGAAAATATCTTGAACCTTATAGACAAAATTCCTTACCTCCTGTAGCTGTATGACTTGTACAGCCTTAAATTCCTGCAGGGTGTACGTATGTCCTTTTTCAATATGACAAAGTCCCATGTAACTCAACTGATAACACAATTCATTTATTTTAAGAAGAGCTGGTCGCAAATACTGAATGAAAATAGAATTTATCATTATTTAGTAAAAAGAAAATATTGTGTTTTAAAAGTATATAAATTTTTAGAGAGAAAGAATGATTACTAGGGATAATAAACAGCTCTCTCTACATGTTAATTTAAAGACCTCTGGTGGTGCAGTGGGTAAGGCATTTGGCTGTTAACCAAAAGGTCCATAGTTCAAATCACCAGCTGCTCAGAGGAAGAAAGATGAGGCGGTCTGCTTCTGTAAAGATGCACAGCCTTGGAAACCCAATGGGGGTCGCTATGAGTCAGAATTGACTTGATGGCAGTGAGTTTGATTTTTTGGTTTTTTTTGGTTTACATGTTAACTTTATGTACAATTGTAAATGCATACACTAAATAGGAGCACTTCTAAAATGTAGTTCTAAAAGTATTCTATCAGGATTCAAAATGTAATCTTGCCAGTGAGCAGCACACTTTTTTCCTCTCTGGCATTGAAGGACTTTGAAAACTAGGCACAACAGTTTGAATTAGGAACTTTGGTGCTCTGAACAGCTCACCGAATCAGAGTGCGCCAAACACAGAAGAGCAGAATTAGAGGAAAGGCACAGGGAGATTATTTAGGAAAGAGCTACTGGCAGAGGATAGACAGGCACCCATGAGAGACCATTGGAAACTTTCCTGGGCCAGTCACTGTCTGCTAGGCAAGGGCGGCTGCCTGAGATCCCCGAGCCAAGAAGGAAGTCACCTTATAGCAGCATACCAGTGACCACTACAATATTCCAGCGGGCAGTGGCAGAGACCTGCCTCCAGCGGCTGATTTTGTTGGTAATTTGGGTCCTCTGAGTGCAGACGGGCATGGGCACCACTGCTGAGATTCAGGCAGAGATCTCACTGTTGCGCCAGAAAGGCTAGCTCCCTCCCTCCCAGCGGATCACAGAGCGGGCTTGGGTTAGACTGGGAGACACCGTGCCTTTCTTTGCCGTGGATATCGGGACCGACTTCAACACAATTGAAATTGCACGCATCTTTGGCGCTGCAGGTGGGTGGTATCAGAGACAAACTCCAGAGCCGGCCATCAGGGGTCTGCTGGAATTACTTCAGCACTGCGGGCAGACAGCCACGGAGAGCAAAGAAACCGCAGCTGAGTGCAGTCCTGCAAATTTTGCCTTGGAGCTGTGCTTTGGCTCTGTGGGGCCACAGAGGCAGGGTCTTTGAGTGTGTCTGAAATTGGCAGAAATTTGCGACCCTCTAACAACAGGAATCTTTCCTGAGATTGAGCCGTTGTTGTTGTTGTTGTTATTATTTGCCATTGAGTCGGCCGTGGACTTGTAAATAACTACACCATCAATAGCAGCCTGTGCATAGCTCTAGAAACCGACCCTAGCCACGCCAAGCTTTCCTTCTTCTGCTCCCACCTTCTCCACCAATAACTTCACTCATTCAACAGAAGAAACCATATTCAGCCAATTACCATAAAACCTCCAGCTTCAAATTCTAAACCCTCTTTATGAAAAACAGAAACACATATCGACGCTACACACATTGATTCCACCATCACAAAGAAAACAGCAGAGCGACCCAACAAACCTGAATCAATAATAAAATAAAACACACCAGCTTGACCTTTTCAAAATATTAAACCATAAAACAAGGACAAAACAAATCAACACGTAACCAGAAGCTAGAGACAACCTAAAGAGACGGCGCTCTACCAGATTCCAAGGGCTTAAGAAGAGGTTCTACTTTACAGTAACTCTCCGGACCTGCACTACATGACTGAAAAGGTCCTAGTTTACACCTTCTTTTTTTTTCTCTCTCTTTTTTCTTTATTTTAATTTTTATTTTCTTATTTTTCTTCTCTTGTGGATAAACCGTTCCTTGTTTTTTTTTTTTTTTTTT